TCCAAGATTTCAGGAGACATGCCACCTTCCCCCATCAAATAAGTTTCTAATCAAATGCCAGAATGAAGCGTCAGAACCTGCCAAATTTCCTCCTTGGCTGCCTTAACTATTTAAATCATTCCTTTTTATTGCATCTGACTAGGCTGAGAACAATAATGGAAATGCCCACCGACTGATGATTCTGGCAATTTTGTGAATTATCACATAAAGTGAAATGCTGAACTACATTCCTTTCTCTGTGGGGTTCATATTCACACTCCTACCCATGCTCAGCACCCACAATGAGCCCATCATCATTACTGCCAACCCTCTGCTTGGCGTGACCATAGCCGCAAAACTATACTGCTGCCGATTAGACTGTGGCATGCTACTCATTCTGCATTTTAAAAGACTGAAAAGGGGAATAACCTATTTAAGAAAATCATTCAAATTTGTATAACTCCTTCCTTCTTTCTTTTCTTCTTTTTCTTCTTTCCTTTCTTTTTCTTCAAGAAACTTGAGGTGATTAGCTTCCATCAGGATTGTACCATAGCAACGAAAAGACACACTCCAGAGACTCCCCATAGAATTTTTGCCTGTGGCCCCAGGTTGCAAATTTTACTTACTTTCCGGTAGGAAATGAGCTAGGTGTGATGAGATGACTAAGACAGTAACTGGCAGACATCTCAGATTCAGTGATGGGAGTTATCAGATTGGAAGCGTTTAGGAGGCACAGCGTGTCCTGAAAAAATTTCTAAGGTTGCCCACTCAAAAAAAAAAAAAAAAGGAGGGGAATGTATTTTGGAAGATTTCTTGGTGCAAAATTAAAAGCAGTAGACATTAACTATAGCTCAGTTAATGGGGAATTGTACATCGTTGAGGAAAACAAAATGGAGGGGATGTGTCAAAAGTATAATGAGGGGCGCCTGGGTGGCTCTGATGGTTAAGCGTCTGCCTTCGGCTCAGGTCATGATCCCAGGGTTCTGGGATCGAGCCCCACATCGGGCTCCTGACTCAGCGGGGAGTCTGCTTCTTCCTCTCCCTCTGCCTCTCCCACTGCTCATGCTCTCTCTCTCTCTGTATCTCTGCGTCTCAAATGAATAAATAAAATCTTAAAAAAAAAAAAAGTATAACGAACTAGAGAAAGAAATGAGGTCAAAATTGTTGATTTGTTCCAAAGGCATTTCTTGAGCACTTACTACATACCGGTCTCCATGTTATATGCTGATCGTATAAAGATGAATTTGTCTTTGTCCCTTAGCTTGTGAAGCTAATCCTGGTATATTAAAATGTAAAGAGATTAGTTCTCTTAGACAGTAGTGAAAATGCTTCCAAAGTTGGGGTAGTCACTTTCTCTGTACTCTTGGGGTATTTCTTTTGTATGGCAATTTCCAAAGGTACTAAAGGCATTGCTTTTTTGGAGGTAAGCTGCTAACAATCTGGACAGTAAACCCACATATTATTTAGGAAAAAATTTGAAAATAGTGTGATGTTCTGTAAAGGAAAAGAAAGACCTGTATTGACTTCTCTAACTCACTGAAGAACTCTAGATTTCTGCATAGCTCCCTTTCAGTAGCAGATGGGTTTTTTATATCAGTATTCTCTTGCCCATCATTTATGAACCCACTAAATAATTTTACTTTTTAAATACCGTACACAACTCAGAAAGTTCTTTGTGCTTTTACAGATGTTATCAACCCACTTAGCCTCCTTAATCCTCCAAAATCCTTTAAGAAATATAGTTAAACCATAATTAACCAATGTTTTCTTCATAACAATCCTTCCAAGAAAGAAAGATAGAAAGAGTAAGAGAGAGAAAGATAAAGAAAGAGAGAAAAAAAGAAAGAGAGAGAAAGAAAGAAGTGTAAAGAAAAGGAGGGTGATTGCAGTCTAAGACACTGAAAGATGACAGGGAAAACAATTAGGAATTTCAAGGAAATAAACAAACTAAAAGGGAACATAATTATAGTATACTACTTGACTCTGTAGGTGGGAAAAAAACATGACCAGTACAAGAAGATACAGTCATAACAAAGTATCTACCCTGGGGGGTGGAAAAAGAAGTGAGATAGTGTAAAACAACAAAATTCTTATCATTATATAATATAATAAATAGATGATGTCTAAAATTATTAAATTGAGAAATATAAGCACAGTAAAAGGGACTATTTTAAATTAAAAGGGAATTAAAGACCCAATGCATGGGCTTCGATTAGACAGACCAGCTACAAAGGCCATTTTAAAGACAACTAGGGCAATCTAAATATGTCCTAGGTTTTATATATGATATTAAGAAATTATTGCCAGATAAAGAAGTTGTGATACACATACACACACACACACACACACAATGGAATATTATTCAACCATGAGAACCTAGGAAATCCTGCCATTTGCAACAACATGGATGCACCTTGAGAGCATTATACTAAGTGAAGTAAGTCAGACAGAGAAAGACAAATACTGTATAATCTTACTTGCATGTGGAATATAAAACAAAACAAAACAACACAAAAACCGGACTCATAGAAAAAGAGATCGCATTTGTGGTTACCTGAGGCAAGGGGTGGGGGACAGGGAAATCAGAAGGTGATCAGAAGGTTCAAACTTTCAGTTACAAGATAAAAAAGTACTAGGGATGAAATGTACAATACAATGACTATAGCTAACACTGTTGTGTGATATATATGAAGGTTGTTAAGAGAGCAAATCCTAAGAGTTCTCATTATAAGGAAAAAATGGTATTTTTTTGCTTTGTTCTTTTATTGTAGCTATACAAGATGATGGATGTTAACTAAATTTATTGAGGTAATCATTTTATAATATATATAAATCAAACCATTATGCAGTACACCTTAAACTTATACAGTGTATGTCAATTATACCTCAATAAAACTAGAAAAAATGAAAAACATAAAATAAAATGGATTATTGTCATTTTTGTTGTGATAATATTTTGGCTATGCATAATATAGAATGCCATGATAACTTTAATATAAAGTACATAAGCATTTTTAAATACTTTACAGTTAGACACACAGCTACATTTAGAAAATCTTTAGACTTTTCTATTTGATTTTGAATCTGTATATGCATTCCTTGATTTTAAAATGTGTTGAAGTAATTTTGATAATATATCTCTGGATTAGTACACATTCAAGTCCTGCTTCTCAACCACCACTGTATTGTATAGTTAAAATTAATCTTTTCAAAGATGACTCTTGTTTTGCAAGATTCTAAGCTTTTAAAAAACAAATTTAATTATATTCAATGCACTTTATTTAATTAGGCAAGAATGCAGACTAACAGAGTTTTAAAGACTTTTTCATTATAAGATTGAAACAAAAAAAGATTATGAGCTAGGGAATTAAATTAACCAAGTATTCGGGTTGGTTAACAGGCATGGTTGGTAAGCTTCAGTCAGACTAAAAATGCACATCTAACTAACTGTTGTGGGATAATGGTTAAGAACATAGCAAATGTGTTCAGAATACCAAGGGGACCCCTCTGTCTCTGTGACTCTTAGGGTAGGGGATACTGTGGGCATGACCTACTTTAAAAATGGACAAGATAAGCTTACATTTCAATGATAAAACTAATATTTTTAAAATGTATTTAACGGGGAGGGGAGTGGCGCCTAGGTGGCTCAGTTGGTGAAGCATCTGACTTCAGCTCAGGTCATGATCTCAGGGTCCTGGGATCAAGCCCCACATTGGGTTCTGTGCTTAGCCGAGGGTCTGCTTGGCCCTCTCCCTCTGCCCCTCCTCTCGCTCGCACACTCTCTCTCTCAAAGAAAAAATAAATAAAATCTTAAAAAAATAAAATAAAATGTATTTAATGACTAAATGACTATTTAATGACTATACCAGAGAGAAAAATACTTCCAGAAAGATATTTCCGCCTAAGAAGCATGTGACACATAAAGTAAATATGGTTTTGGTTGGTTGGCTAACACTTTCATTACTTAAATCTCTTTTGCATTAGACATAAGTGAGCTTTCTAAGGTATAAGGTTGGATAGAATTTTTAAAAGTATCATATGAATCATAGGGAGAAATGAAGGGTCATCTAAAGAAAGACAACATTACATTAAAGCCACACCCTTCAGTTCATTTCAATGTCATATTAACACAGTCGTATTTTAATGTGGTGGGACAATGTTGACATGTAACTACTAATCCATTTAATTGGTTGGTTTTAATTCATTAATCAGTGTCATCAGTTACTAATCCTCCACTCAGTAAATAATTGCTGAGCATCTATATGCAGGTATATATATGCTAGGGACTCAGAATACAATAGTAAGCAAGACAAACGTGATCCCCATCCTCATGGAGTTTACATTCTAGTAGGAAGACAGCTATCAAACAGGAATTGAAATGAAACAGAATCAGTGTTTTTAGGGGAGAAGGAGAGGTAGGCCTCGAGAGCACATAGCAAGGAACACAACCATCTTCTAAAAATATCAACCAGGTGCTTCGCAGAGCTCTCTCTAGCCCACCCCTTCCTCAGGGTTGAAAATCCGAGAGTAAATGCAGAATCCCCAATGACTGGTGGCGGCTACGCAGGAATACAGGACTGTCACAGTTGAATACATGATCCTTCTGCAGAGTGCTGTCTCCGTTAACAACATAGTTTATGTGGCTCATTTTCCTGGTAAACTCTTAGTAAACTTTGTGTGCCAAAGAAAGCTGGATGGGGTGTTTGCCAGAATTAGGGATGTGGGTTGACCTTGTGGATAGCTCTTCAGACAGGTCTAGATCTGACATGACCCTGCCGCTAACCTGAATGTAGATACCAATACTGTAGCACCCAGTAATTGCAGAGAGACTGTTAGCATGAATCTGGAATACCTATATTACTTCCAAGCATTTGAGTTAGATGGGTGGGGGAGGACCAGCTAAGCAAATTGTGAAATTTCTAACTGTAAGCAAAAACGTGGGTCTATCTTGTGAATCAGATTTGCATCGTATTCTAAATAACTGTTGTGTTTTGTTGTTTTGTTTTGTTTTTTAATTTCAGAATGTCCTCATTGTTGAGGTAAGCTGACTTTTCTTTATCCATATTTGGAAGTTGAAAGAATCTAATGGTGAGTTTTGAAATAGCACTTATTATCAAATTGGTCAAGGATTTATTGAATTTCCACTGTGCGCGTGGCTCTCAAAATTTACTAAGAGCTAACTAGAATCAGTGGCCTGAAACAATTTAGAATAAAAGCTTTGCAATAATAGGGGCGCCTGGGTGGCTCAGTCATCAAGCGTCTGCCTTCGGCTCAGGTCATGATCCCAGGGTCCTGGGATCGAGCCCCACATCGGGCTCCCTGCTCGGCGGGAAGCCTGCTTCTCCCTCTCCCACTCCCCCTGCTTCTGTTCCTGCTCTCGCTATCTCTCTCTCTGTCAAATAAATAAATAAAATCCTTAAAAAATAAAAAAGGCTTTGCAATAATAGTTTCGTGGTACTTCATCCGTTTTTATGTCTAATTTCACACATGTCTAAATTGGTTCTTATACCTATTTGCGAATCAGGCATTTTTTACAAAAGAGGAAACTAGCCCCACAGAACCAAATATATATAATAGTAAAAGCAAGGTTTGAACTCTTTTCACCCTTGATTCAGTGTTCTTCCTAATGACCCCTAAGGACTTCAAACAATTCTACCTTCAGCAACAAAATCATAAATACCATCAATTTTCAAATGGCAATCCAAGAGAAGGTTATAATTTAATTTTTCTGCTAAAAAAAATGAGAGCGAACGGGCCCTGTGGTAGCAGTGGACTTAATACAACACATGGCCACTTTTCCTTCGAGAGCACGCCTGTCTTATCAGCTGGCAAGAATTCAAGGGAGCTGTTTCAAGTTTTTGTTACACAAATGCCCGTGTGTGCCATGTGTATCTGCAGTCCTCCCGGCTCAGACATAACCCAGGAAGTAGACCCTCTAGCCAAACGAATTGCCCAACCCTGGCTAAATTCAGACCTGTTGTTTTGATAATCAGCTCCTGACAGCTGACTTCTGTCCCAAGGACAATACATTTCTGCTGCCCATGCTCCTCTAATTGTATAGCAGCTCATCAGCAGAGACGAGCCGAGGCTCACTGCAACCTTGCACCCGCAGAATTCACAGGCTGTCACCAGCTGCCGTCCAGACACATCTCACTTCCCAGCCGTAGAATCCCCTATTGAGTGGGGAGGGCAAGGGGGAGGTTTTTATCCATTCAGTGTATTCAGATGTACATCCCATGTCCATGAAAATTCATGCGTTCCGTATTGTGTTGCATAACCTCAGGGCCAAATTTGGTCCTTGAATGTGCATGCATGAGTCCCAATGTACTCAGTGAGCAGCCCCACATGCTCTCCAAAGGCTGAACTTAGCTTTCAACACAGCTCAAGGATTCCAAGAGGAAATATTCACCAATATATTCCCCTAAACCCAGCTTCCGAGAGAAACACCTGTCTAAAAAATGTAACAAACCCTGCTTCCTATTTTGACTCCATCTGATGGCAATTCTAATTATGATGCATTATTGATAAGACATACAATCATCTGTCTGGATGCAATGTCTATTATGCTGCCCAAATGCGCTCAGTTGAATGTGCTTGTCCTCTTTGCAAAGGATGTTGTTGGAACCGGGAAGACCATGCGAGCACTGCTCAGTAGCATAGAGAAATACAAGCCCAACATGATTAAGGTAGCCAGGTGAGTAGGACATTCCCACATCATTGTTGTTGCTTCTGTGTGTCCAAATAAGCCGGAGAGGGATGCTAACACAGGATGTTGTCCCCAAAGAGAGCAGTCTATTCCAAACCAGTGACCCTGTGCCCCGGAGTGTTATGGCTTGACCACACTGAACAAATAGCCCATTTGATTGCTAGCCTGAGACAGAGGAAGGGGAAGAGGACATGCTTTGCCAGGTGTCTGAGCTTCTCGTTACTGTGCCTCCATTAGTAGCTTCCAGCTAGCGGAGCCTGGTGCCAGTGCCCCTCTCCCTTTTATCTAGAATCACTGATGTGGTGCCTCGGTAGCAGGAGCGTGAATTAGGGGCCCAGGATGGTGCCCCACATGCCGGGGCGGGGGAGGGATACATATTTTAATGATGTTCGGTTCTATTTGCAATTCACAGAAGTTTTATCTGGATCACTAAACACTTTTTTTTTTTTTAATGGTAGTTTGTTGGTGAAGAGAACACCTAGAAGTGACGGCTTTAGACCCGACTGTAAGTGGTTTTGGTTTTGGTTGGTTGGTTGGTTGGGTGGGTGGTTGGTGGTGTCATTTCACGTTGAAGAATCTCTGGTTTCCTATTTGCCGGCCTTCTGTGTGAAGCAGAAGCTGTAAAGGTTTCCTAGTCCCACAGAGGTCTCCCCAGCCTTGCCAATAGAACCCTTTTCAACAAGGATAGAACCCTTTACAACAAGGGTTTTTCATTTCCCAGTTTGCGTTGTTCATGGAAACTCTGTCATGTGCATTGGATATTTTTGTGTTTAGGTTTTCCATAGCACCTTAAAGCCAAAGAACTCAGCTAATGGTTTTCAGGGGGTGGAGGGAGACTTGACCCCACCAGACTGGCTGACACGCAAGTTCCCTGCCTTGGCCGCTGCCCCTGTCAGTCAGACCCGGGAAGGCACTGTAAAGGCTTAGAGGGATTCTCATACTGTCTCCAGGAACCATCACCAGACAACGCTCGATGCCGACCAAAGAAAAGTTCAGAAACACAGAGAATTGGCCGAGCAGGTATCTTCAGATACCATCTTTGTGCTTGACTTCCTATGTTCTGGAGGATTTGGCTCATCCAGGGCACTTTGCTACTCTCCTCCCCATAATATGAATAGTTCCAATGCCAGGAAGAATAAACAAGCAGCTTGATTATTCGTTATTCTAACACTAGAGGCGACTTTTTTTCACTCACATAGGCAGACTTCAGCTTGATTTTTATAACTTACATTTGCTCTAAAGCCTCTGGGATCATTTGGCTACAGTTCTCATCAGCAAGCTGAAAAAACATCAGAGCAAGGGAAGCACACTATGGACGGGTAATGTGCCAGTGACATTTCGCAAGTGACTCTTTATCTTAAAAACAAGTTTCATGTATTAAATCTAGACAACATCAGTGCTGGGCAGATAGACCCAACAACATGTCCCCGTCCAGTTACTGGCATGGGGAATATAATCTGTGTGCAGTAAGGTTAGGCAAAGTTAGTGAACAGAAATCTTCTAAGGAAATCATGGAAGATCCCATAGAGATAAGATTTTAACTGAAGTTGAAAGATTCACTTCAGACATAGCCAACTAATTACAGATTATTTGTGTCACTTACAGCAACAACGTGAATAAAATAATGGCAGGTAATACTAGTAAGAGGTTACGATGGGCCCTACACTCCTTTCTAAGAGCGACACAGAGATTAATACATTTCATCCTTACAACCTTCATCCAAGGTAGTTGCTCTTGTTATGCCCATTTTACAGATGAGGAAATTGAACACAAGGTTCAATGGTTTTCAAAGGTCACGTTGCTGTAAGTGTAGAGTCAGTATTGAACCCAGGCAGTCTGGTTCTGATCACTGCCTTACTCTTGTACTACATCTGTAAGTAACATCAGCAAGTAAATGCACTCATTTTCCAGCTAGACATAGGTCACTCTGATTCCTAACCATCCCCCTGATCTACTGATCCAGTGTCCTTCTTTCACTCCCTAACAGCTCTAAAGGTTTGACCTTCTGAACTGGCTTTGCCCAGTCTCTGGCGCCATGCCTACTGTAGGCATTGCTCTGGTCACTGTGAAGTCATTACTGTGGTGACAACCCGGGTTCTCTGGGATTTACTAATATCCTTTTAGCTGGTTCAGAATCTCTGTTTCTTCTCCCTAAACTCCTGAGGCTTGATACTTTTGGTTCCTTTCTCATAATTGATTCTTTCCCATATGCTCCATGACATCTTTTATATGTTCTGACATCTTTTCTTCTGCTCTTGCTTCTCCTCTTTGATTATTTTTCTCAAAGCAAGGTACAGTGTGGAGGGACCAAAGGGCATTTCTATCAGTGACATATAATGCAATCCTCTAGAAAGTAAGTCCCTCTCCTCCGGCACTTTCTGCAAGAAGGAAGCAGTTGCCTACTCCATGTGAAAGCATCTTTGGTCATAGGAATCAAAATGGTGGTGAGTAGTCACCAGAGGGATAACTTTCTCTCCATGCTATAAGTCCATTGGCTATACCAAAGAACAGTTTCATAAAAGTAAGCGAGTACACCTCTCATCTGCAATGCTGGAATAAACAAACAGATTCAAAAAAAAGTGGAAAGAGTTTGAAAAACCACTGGACCATAGGCACATTTATTCTGTTTCAAGACTTCTGAAGAAGGAGTGCTACTGTCTGTTCCTTAAAGATTTTTTTCCATAAAAATCATCTTCCTTTCAATAAACTTTTCCTTCATTTAACCTAAGTACCTCATACTGCATTTAAATCCTTTTACTACCATCCCTCCCACAATAGAGATTGAGAGCTAATTAATGTCATCTGTCTACTGGATTCAAAGACTAGTGTTAGAATAACCCTTAGCGTTCTGTTCCTCAAACTGAACAATCCCACTTCTCGTCATCTGGTCTCCCAGGTTTGGCTTCCCAGCCCTTTATCCAGCTGAGGACACTGAGTGCAGTGGGAGAATGGGTTCCTAGTGATAACAGCCTGTGCACCTAGTCATGTAGTACAGGATTAGAATACTTCTCTCTGAACTGCACTTTATGCTTCCCAAGTATTTCCTTTGGCATTATAACATTGGATACTGCTTGCTTTGGAACTGCGGGGCTACATGACTAACTCATGCATATCTCTTGCTCTCCCCCAGGCTGGCTGAGCCCTTTCTCAGCTCTGTATGGTAGGAGTACAGCCATTCTTCCTTGTATGTTTGCTTGTCTACCTTGTCTCCCTGCCTAATCACTGTGGTCCAGGTCCTATTGGGCTCATCCTATGCATTGCTTATCATTTTTCTCACTTGCTTCTGCTTAAATGAAAGGTCCTCACAGTTTAAGTGCCAACAATAGCATATGGTGGCTTTCTACTCATGTTATCTACATTTTATTCCTTTTTTTTTTTTTCTCTCTCTCTCTACTCAGATGTTGGATTTGAGATTCCAAACTTATTTGTGGTGGGTTATGCCTTAGATTACAATGAATACTTCAGAGATCTGAACGTAAGTCATGCATGCAAATCCCTAGCCTCCTTTCACAAGAACTTAACAGCTATATGAATTTAACAAATTATTGAAATAGTAGTCATGATGGCTGCCACTTACTGAATATCTTCTGTGTCAGGAATATTCTGGGCACTTTGCATTCATAATCCCAGTTACAGTTGCATGCAGTTCATAACTATTCCCTTTTTGGAGAAATGGTTTCAACATATATACATGGACTTCCAGTGTAGACCCCCCAGCTGTGTGACCCTGACCAATGTTGAATGATTTAGAGGTAGACATCTTACCCGAAGTGGACCAATCATGTGTGTGTGTGTCTCTCTCTCCTAAGAATTAGAAACTTAAACCAAAAGTCACAGAAATCAAGAGGTTTTGGTCTTAAGCCACTGAATGGCAGGGCCCCAGAGAGAGTATCCACAAGCACCATGGGCTAAAGTCAGGAGCTACCCCATTCCAGCCTTCCAGTTGCTTCATTGTGTAGCCCTTCCTTGGATTCTGTGAGCCACCTCATTAGCCTTGGTAGGCTATATTAGCCTATATTAACCTGACTCCACTTCTGTGCCTTGCAATCAAAATAGTCCCGACACATTTCTTGCTACCCAAAAAGGATCGATTAAGTCAATGTTGTGTTTACCATGGCTATTTCTCCATTCTCCCTAGAGGTGATAATGTTACCAGGTGGAGACTTCTATCTCCACCATGGCTGACCATACCCTCCTTCAGCCTTTCTGGTTGTTCCAGGCCTAGGGAGCCAGATTTGGAATAGGGCTCAAAACTAGAACAATGAAGAAACTTTTTCAAGCATTCAATTGGGTGTCTTTAGATTTTATATACATGCACACACATAAATGTGCACACACATATTTGAATGAACAATAACCAATTATAAGATGACATTCTATTATTACTGCATTACATTTTCTGTACCCCTCCTATTTGGTTAAGAAACCGATTCATTTAAATCCTTTATTGTTTCAGCACATATGTGTGATCAATGAACATGGCAAAGAAAAGTATCGAGTCTAAAGGAGTAAATTCTCACCAACGAATCTCCAGATAACATCATACTTACGACTATAGTCGGAAAGCCAGCATGTAAAGTTTGTCTCCCCAGGCATCTTCACTCAGCAGGAGATAAAAGAAAACAAAAATGTTTTAATGAGAGAGGTTTCTTTTCTGAGGTTATAACATAAAGAATACCAAAGGTTCTTAAGGAAAATTAAGCAGTGTTTTTATTTGACTTGCTCCAAATTAAATACTCCACCTTGTGACTCATGCGTTCTATCTACCTTCACACTCCAGAACTTCACCTTCTTTTATTCCGATACAGTTATTATGCTTGATGACTATACCCCCACCTAGTTACTCAAATATTTTTCACTTAACTTTTTTTTTTTTAATATTCCATTTTGGTAATATTTTGCAATCTGGAGAAACTGGAAGCCTTTTCAGTTAAGCTCTGAACGCAAATCCTGGGAATGCAACTAGATTCCCATACTCAAAAAGGAGGGAAAGGACAATTTAATATAAATTTCTGTTTGTGCATTTCTGGCAGGCCATTACTATTTGCTTTGACAAAGCCTTTTTGAACTGTAGCATATAATGAATCTTAATGATGTTATGAAATGAGCCTTTGCTCAGTGCTGTTGATCGGAGCTTCCGGTATGTGATAACGGTATGTCATGCATGCATGGATGTACTCAACTGTGTTTAATACTCTGAATTTTAATTAGAAAAAGTACAATGGCAGCAAGGCCCTCGTTTCTAAGCTACATCGTTTTATTCGTGTGGGACATGAGCAAATGGCAGAATTCGTGGGGCGGGGGGTTCAATTCAAAACTAAGCAAGTATGAGTTTTTCCTCTTATTTACATCAAAGGACAAGACACTATTATATATTATCATCAACACGAACACAGAGGTTGAATTATTTTTTTGAGTGGTCTTAGAATCTGACAGCCGACAGCCCAAGGCACCACAGAAAACCAGCACACTTAAGAAAGTTGTTTTCTGAATAACATTTTTTCCATTTCCACTGTTTTATGAGATGTTTTCTAATTTATGGGGATTTTAATTGAAAATGAACTCGAGTGCCAATAGAACTGTTTTTTTCTCACTTCCTAAAAGGAAAAAATGCAAAATAAATAGCTAAGCAGCCTTTGTTTGGTTCTGAACCATTTGTGACATATTATTATCAGGTTCTAGCTTCCTTTAAACTAATAAAGAATAAAAAACCTTGTTACGTTTCATAACTGCTTACTGTTTTTCTTCTGCCTTCATATTTTTTATATACTTTCAGCCCTTAAAATGCGTGTGAGCCAGTAGCTTAAATATACTACTGCATATATCTTTCCTGGGGCTTTATTTTTGTTAACCTGGAAAAAATCCAATATATGCGCTAGTATAAGCAAACGATTAAGCCAGACTTGATCTACTGCTTTTCTTTTTTTCTCTCCTTGTAAGACAAAGAATTTTAGTTGTAAAAGATTTTCCTGACTATCTTTGTTCCAGGCAGAGAAGAAAATAAACCACACCCAGAAAGTGAGAAACCAGCCAAGGGAATTCCTTTTAGCTTTGTTCCATAGAAGAATCAGTATCCAAGTTAGAGATTGAAAATTCTAATTGGCCAGTTTCTTGAATCATCAAATTCGTGTTCTAAATACAATTTCCACTATGCCACCTTTATATGAGGGACCTAGAAAAACCCAGATACATTTGATTATAAGTATAAAATTATCCATAATCTTTATTAAAATATTTTCTTTAGAATGTTGAATTTTAACAAACATCAGCGTAATTTTTGAGGACTGTATGTTTATTTGAATTAGGAAGGAAGTTGATCTACTTCACAAGATTTTGAGGAGGACTTGTGCTAACTAATGCTGAAAAAGAAAAATCCATTAAATACATAAGAAGTTTAATCATTCCTGCAATTTTTTTCCTATCACACAATATTTTGACAGTGATATCCAAGAATGTCATCTTGGGAAAAATAGTATTTCCTCTTCTCTTGCGAAACTCGAATCTATTTAATACCACTGAGTTTTTTCAATCCAGACCAAAAATGTGAAAACTCATAACCAGATTAGCAACCGATGCATTTATTAATGTGGTGTTCCAAAGCTGATTGGTTGGGGAAGGGGGAGACAAGTGTGTGATATGTTTTATTTGGGTTCAGTTATAATAATTAGTAATACTTTTACTACAGTAATACAGTAACATAATCAGTAATACTTTGGGATATTCCAAACAAATTAGAATCCTTCATTATAAATTGGTTCTTACTTACTAGATTGGAATGTATCCAATATTGAACCATGCACTCCCAATGTGAACTGCAAATAGTCAAATCTTGATGCACCTTGTTTAACCTTTGGATGTCTTTGGATATAACATGGTTTACCATGTTTCAGCCCTTCTGAGACTATTTAAAAAAAAAACAAAACACACCTTTCAGAGCACAAGCAGGTATTTTTTTCAGCCTCCCATGAGATGAACTTGTGTTTTCCCAGTGGAGAGAGAAGGTGACCTATCCCACTTCTAGAGAACTGGTGTCATGGAAATATTTCCTCACTTTTGTAATAGAGGTAGTATGTTCTAGGAAATCGAAACCCTAAATCACACTCCCCACCCAGATGTCTGGCTAATCTGGGCAAAAATAGCGTTTGGGAGTTGTCATTATTTGCTATCATAAAGTTCCTTTGGGATCCCTAGATGACACTTGAAGGCTGGTGGACAGGCTAGTTTCAGGAGGGGAGCAAAGGGGTTGTGGAAGGGAAGTTTGTGCATTGATGCTGGGGTGCATGTGGAGGAGGGACAGAAGGTGTATGTGGAGAAGGCTGCTTTGATTCTTGGCCAAACCATACCCCAGGATTGGTTCTGAACCCCGTGGAGAGAAGGAGACAAAGACCCTGACTGAAAGAGCTGTTTTCATGGTAGCCTTTGGGCCACACACTAGGATAGACAAGGCTTTCACATTTCACTGAGGGTCATACATAGTCCATTCCAAAAAAAAAGAAGTTTTTGCCATGTCTCAGTCCAAAGGACCCCCTTTTCTGACTTTTTCAGGGTGGGCTTTGCTCAGAGATAAGTAGGAGAGCCCGAGAAGACAGAGTGGGATACTGAAGTCCTGCATTTTCTAAGTGGGAGAAATAAGCCTGAACTAATGTTACTATGACTTTGTTTGTATCCAGAGCCTAATGCGTGTTGACTAGTGAATAAGCTTCAAATGAGGATGGGGAGTGTAGACGACTCACTCAAGAAACCTGGCTGTGAAGACCAGAGACACATAACCATAGCTAGAGGGGGAAAGACTTGTACATTTTTATTTATTGTGGAAAACAAAAAACAAGTGAACAAAACAGTAGAAACAGCGTATTCATTATCAATTGCTCTGTAACAAACCATTCCCAAAACTGAGTAGCTTAAATGAACAATAATTATTATTTCTCAGGGCTTATGAGAATTAGGAATATGGAGCAGGCACTGTGGGGATGGTTTGTTTCTGCTTCGTGATGTCTTTTGCTTCAGCTGGAAGATTCAAAGGCCAAGGGCTACAACCAAGTGACGATAAATGGTCCAGTGTGGCAGCCATTAGCCACATGTACTTGTTTAAATTTAAATTAACTAAAATGAAATAAAATTTAAAATCCACTTCCTCGTTCGCATTTGCCACACTACCACTGCTCAACAGCCTCATAAGGGAGTAAGTTACCGTATTAGCACAAACTTAGAAAATTCCCCAATCACAGAAAGTTCTGTGGGTAGCTCTGATCTGAAGGTTTGCCTGGTGGTTGATATATTGGCTGCTCGCTGGAACCTTAGCTGAGCCTGTCAGTTGGAATTCTGTGTGGTATCTCCATGCGGTTCGAACTTCCTCACAACATGGTAGCTGGGTTCCAAAGGCAAGTGTGAACAGAGACAGAGACAGAGACAGAGACAGAAGCAGGCGAAAGCCATACTTATATGACAGGCTCACTTCCCCCACATTCTGTTAGTCAAAGCAGTTACAAAGACTTGTCTGACATTAAGGGGAGAGAACATAGATGGCCACCGCTTGATGGAAGAACATTGTAAGACAATTGAGTGGGGTAGGATATATATGTCTCTGGCCATTGTCAGAAAGCTGGAGATGAAAGGTTATTCCCCTGCACATTTTCCACTAATGAGATTAGTGAAGAAGCCAATTATGCAGTGGTCATAATGCATAATTGAAAACACACCTGCTTGCCTAGATTTTTAAGAATGACAGAATACTGGGGCACCTGGGTGGTTCAGTCGGTTAAACGTCTGACTCTTGATTTTGGCTCGGGCCATGATCTCAGGGTTGTGAGATCGAGCCCCCCCAAAGTGGAGCCTGCTTAAGATTCTCTCTCTTCCTCACCCCCTGCTGCTCCCCCACCTCAAAAAAAAAGACTACTACTACCTAGCCACATGGGGAAATATGAAATGATAAAAAGAACACCAGAGTAGCCCACCCCCCCCTTGATTATAAAGGTAGAAATACATGTTTTCCCACTGATAGTGTTTGGACCAGATTAAGAAGACTTTGAAAGAGCAGTTTTATTTCTTTTATTATTAGGTGCTTAAATTTGAAATATAAAAACCATAGTAAAATAGTTTTTGCTTGCCAAGCATTCTGTAAATGTAAATCCATGCTGAAACTTTAGGAGTAGTTCCATTTTTATAGGAAGAAATTGCCATATAATTTGGCCAAGAAACTAATCCAGAATGGGACTTCCTATATATATTTATATAACATTATGCTGGAAATAGTACTCACCAAATCAATTAAAAACAACAAATCACTGAGTACTAACCAACAGGGCTTTACGATGAAAATTGCTCTGTCCGATTTATCTAATCTCCTAATATTGAATGACAGAGCTGGTTGACTGGAAAAAGGAAGTACTGTAATTTGTCTTATCTTTATTTGAACAATGCTTTTGGTTGTGCCGCGTGAAGAATATTCATCAATAGCCTGGGAAAATGACTTACACTACCTAGCTACTGGGTGACTGCGTGAATCTTTACAGTTGTATTTAAAAGAGATCTAACATGAGCATAACAAAACACATTGTGAAAGACTGGAGCCCAGACACTGAGTGTGTTGACATTTCACAAAAGATCTGCCTGCAACTACTGTGTATCGTGCGCTATACAAAAACTTGACGATAACCCAATTTAGTATTTAGCATGAAACCCAGAGGTAGGAACTGCCATCTCCATTTCAGAGATAAGGAAATGAGTACTAAAGAGATTAAATCACTTACCCAGGGTCACAGAACTGTGTTCAAAACAAGAAATTGAACCCGTGTTATTAGAGTGCTGAGTCAGTACTCAGTACACAGGGCCGAGTTCATGGACCGTGTAGAAAGTGCGTCTGTAGACTTGCAGGTGACAATCTGAAGAAAGAATGGTGTGATATAATAAGAAATATGTTTGGTGGTTGTCCCTGGTTCCTGGCACAGAGCTCCTAAAACCCTTGGAATTTCCAAAGTAGGGATAGGATCTTTTGTTACTCTTAACAAACCCCTTTTATCATACCTGAGTTTATGCTAAAGAGGTGACTTAGAGTGGGACCCCTCTAGATAGCCTGGGGATGGGGCTGGTCACCAGAAAGACCAGTGACTGGAAGGTTGGAACTTCCAGCCCTGCACACGGACCTCTGGGTAATTAAGCAACTGGCTCTCAATCGCTACAATTTTTATGCATCTACATTCAAATATGAAAGAGTCCAATAATTTTCTTCTATTATTTTTTATGTGGTTTTGGAATCAGGATTATTTTAGCTTCAAAAAGTGACATCAACTTTTACTTTTCTTCCATTTTCTCAAACAACTTGCGTAAGATAGGAGTTCTCTGTGTATTGACATTGTTAGGACTTAAAAATTCTCAATGTGTATATAGACATTTCTTCTTTTTATTCTATATTTTACTTGCTTCTAATACTTTTCTTCCCCCCGCCCCAAAGAAACCACTTTAACTTTGTTCATGTTCTTCTAGTGGATTTTCTTTTCCAGGCTGGTGTACCCATCTTCCAGATTCCATTGAGTATTGGCTGCTACAGTCCCCCGTCGCCCCTTCCCTCCTTCTTGGAGGTCTACACCCTCCCCAAGGTAATCACAGCCAATGACTTGCAGACATGTGAGCACCACTAAAGCCCAAGTGGGACTCTCTGGTGTGATTCATGCTCTTGAACTCCCTGGGGGATCAGGCTGAAGTTCTGCACATCCTTGCTTAGCCTCTTCTG